CTCCAGCACCGGGTCAACAACAAAACCTCGCAGGACGGAGCTCCTTCAGTGGCGGTCTTGCCCCTCCTTGGTCCGGCACCGGGCAGCCCAGCCCGAGGCCCAGGGCCGGTGAGCCAGGCCTCCGTGCTCGGGTTGGGCCGAGGCAGCCCTGTGCTGTGACAGGGCCTCTGACCCGCGGGCAGGGAGGGGGCAGGCCGTGGCCTTCTGGTGAGGGAGCACCGAGGGCTTCTCGGGGCCTGTGCCCTAGGGAAGGGGCCCGGGACCCCACCCTGGGAGGCAGGCAGGGCCACACAGAGGGTGAGACCAGCTAGCCACAGGCCCCGAGCCACCCCCATCTCTCTGGCCCCAGAAGCAGGGCGCTGCCGTCTCCAGGAGAGGCCTGGGACGGGGGCTCCGGGCCCCAGGGGGAGAGCTCGGGCCTGTTCACTGGTTCCTTGAGCATATTTCCTGAGCAGCGACGAGCACGCCGAGCCGAAAGCTGGCACCGCTGTGAGATGGGCATCCCGCCTGGAGCATGCGTGCTCAGGAGACAGGCATGCACAGAAAGACACAAAAGGCAAAGCGTGTGGCCTAGTCACCCAGCCGGCCCTCCGCCGGCACGCTCCAGACACCCCGGGCACACGGGTCAGCGGAGGACAGAATAACCAGGGCACAGCCTAGTGCTGGCCGGCCTGGTCCATGCCTCCTCCTGCCCGGGCCTCCTGCCCAGGTGGGGCTTCCCACCTGCTCATACTGGCCAGGCCAGTCACCCGGGATACTCCCAGGGGAGGCCTCCCTGCACCCTGTCTGCATCCTGGGCAGACTGCCTGAGCTCAGGGCCAGGCGGATGTGAGGCTGGCTGGGCAGAGCCTGGGCCCCGCCAGGCCCAGCTTCCTGGGGTGCCCAGTGCCCTGCCTGCCAGACTGGTTCCTGCATAGCCCAGCTGGCCCTTGCCAGGCCGCAGCCCATCCTGGGAGCGCCCCCGTTGGAGGGTGGTGTGCAGGCAGCCACCAGGCCAGTTCCAGCAAAAGGTTCTCAGTGAAGACGGCCTGCTCCTGGCCACCTGTGTCCCAGGGAAGAGGCTCCGGGCGGGACTTGCAGAGGGCAGAGTGCCAGCACGGGGGAAAGGCCCCGATCAGCTGGGCTGAGGACCTGCACAAGCCTTGGGGATCCCCGAGGAGCCGGGGATCGCAGAGTGGGGGCCAGAGGGGGTCCCAGGTCTCACGGCGGCTGCCCATCCACCACGGCCAGGGACACTACAACTAGGGCTGCCCTCCTTACCCCTGCTCTTGCTAGGGCTCCCCCTGGATAGTCCCCAGGAGCACCGCTCCGGAGTGGGGTGGTCTGAGGGGGACCCTCCAGCCCTGGGCTCCCAGGCTGTCCCCACCAGGGCGGGCCGTGTGTGGCGCTGGCTCCTGGCCTGGCCGCCCCCGGGAGGCATCAGGTCCTGGTCCAGTGTGGCGGCATCCAGGGCTCTCGTCAGAGGGCAGAACCTGCGGTCGAGGGAAACGCCCGGGGCGCTCACCCGGATACCTGGCCTGGGACCCCAACCCACAGCTCACCTTCCGTGGGTGGGGCTGGACCACGAGGTCAGGGTGACCAGACGGAAGGGCCCGGGCCATGGGTGAAGGACCAACGACCCCAGCCCACCGCCAGAGCGGGTGACACGCGGGCGTGGGGCACAGGTGGCTGCAGGGACCTGGAGGTCCACCGCGGCCATCGCAGGGCCCCGAGGGGTGCGGCGCCCATGGCCACCTGGGCCCGGCCCCTCCGGTGCCCGCAGGGCCTGGACGGCCTGGCTGCAGCCCCGCTGGGCTCCAGAGCTTGGGGCCTCTCCCTCATCCCCCCATCTCCCCTCCCCCCTCCTCGCCCCATATCCCCTCCCCCTCCCCCTCCTCGCTCCCTTCCCCCCTCCTCGCCCCCTTTCCCCTCCCCTGCCCCCGTTCTCGGGCGCCCCTCCCGGAGAAGGTGCTTCTGGGCCATGGCCTGCACGGATCCCACCGGACGCCACAGGAAGCTAGGCCTGGGTGGAGCAGGGGTGGCGCCGGCCAGGTCCGGGGGTCGGTGGGATCCCCACCCCCCAGCCCCCCTACCCTCAGGCCGCCCCCCCAGCCTCCCCCACCACCCCTGCCGGAAGCCAGGCCATCAGAATTCGGGGTGGCGGTGGTGGGGGGGCGACTGTGAGGGGCCGCGGGAGGCAGTGCCCACCAAGGCCCAAGGCCTGGGCAAGGCTGGCACCCCGCGGCCAGGCCAGCAAAATGGGCACCCAGTGCCAGCCTCCTCCTCCCCAGACCCGCACACACAGACACGGATGCTCACAGGCACTCGGTGTGCGAGGTACCCAGTGCACACAGGCACCCAGTGCACACACCCGATGTGCACTGGCACCTGGTGTGCACACACCTGATGTGCACAGGCACCCGGTGTGCACACACCCGGTGTGCGAGGTACCCAGTGCACAGTGCACACACAGGTTGCATACAGGCACCCAGTGCACACACACCCGATGCACACACCCCCAATGTGCACACACAGGTTGCATACAGGCACCCAGTGCACACACACCTGATGCACACATCTGATGTGCACACACAGGACGCACCCAGTGTGCCTAGGCACACACAACCTCCTAGGTGTGCAAGGCACCAAATGCACACACACCTGGTGTGCACATGCACCCAATGTGCACAGATGTGCTGCGCAGACACCCACCTCCCAAGGCCAGCAGCACCGGTGTCTGGAGGGGCTCTCAAACTGGATGCCCCAGGAGCAGGCCTCAGGAAGGGGTTAAGTAGAGAGCCCTGTGCACCCCCTGCCCTGGTATGACCCTTAGGAGCTGCCTTGCAGGGCGATCAGGGGGCCTGCCATAAGGGGTGACCTGGATGTGGATAGGTACTGCCAGCAGCATGGGCACCGGGCACGGGCGCCAGCAGCAGTCACTGGCTGGAAGGCCTTTGATCTCTGCAGCCTGAGCTCTGGGAGCAAGTTGGCGGTCAGTCCTACATCCAACCAAGCTGGGCAGACAGAAGCCACTTCCCAGAGAGAAACACACCCCACCCGTGTCTGAGAGTGACCTGGGAGGGGCTGGGACGGACAGGAGGCTCAGGGACACTTGTCTGGTATGGTCCAGGGCGGTCCTGCTTCCCGAGAAGGCTCTCACACTGGGCTCCTGCTTCAGGTGACCTGTCCACTGAGCTCTTAGGAAGACCTCTGTGCAGCAAGAGCAAGGTGGGCCAGAGCCTGCCTCAGCCTCCTGCCAGGGAGAGGGCAGGAAGGCTCGGCCCAGCCTGGCTGGACACCTGCTTCAGGGCTGGGTGCTCGAGGCCCCCGCCCACCTGGCACGGGCTGGGCTGCAGATGGCCATGTGCGTCACAAAGGCCATGGGGGGCAGCCGTGGTGGGCCGGCATCCAGCCCCCTCCCCCTCCCAGCACCCCCGTGGCGGGGCAGAGCTTGGCTGCGGTGGGTGGGTGGGATCTGTGAGGAGGCCTGCAGTCCTCAGAGCCCTCACCTTCCCTCAGGGCAGAGCCAGCCCGGCCTTCTCCTCTTGGGGTCCCTTGGCAGATCTTAGACCCAGGCTGCTGTTCCCTCAGGGCAGGTGGGGCTGTTTCCCCTCATCCAGGGCTGGGGGGGGCGGGACTGGGGGCGCAGGGTGGGCTCTGCTGCTGTGCAGCTGTTCCAGGAACTGGACAGGCAGGAAGGAGGGTGCCTGGCATCCACAGCCCAGATAAGAGCCTGTGTTTTTGGCTGCGGTCAGCGCCCTAGACCACGGGGGTGGGGGGTGGGGCAGACTTGGCTCTAGGAAGGAGACCACAGACGTGGAGGCCATGGCTGTAAGAATTCAGGACCAGCTAGAAGCTCCCCCACCTCACTCCTGTCTCCCAGAATAACCTAAAATACTGGCATCAGCTAGGGGATGGGGTGCAGTCCTGAGCCCAGGGGCCATCTGTTCCCTCCTTGCCCTCCCTACCACAGGTCAGAGGGTTCAACCCCTTCCTTGGGTTCCCTCCCGAAGGCTGGGGCAGCCGCTTCTAGAGGTGCCGCCATACCCCCAATGTGCCAGTCCAAGGGTCCTGGCAGGTCAGGTGTGAACACAACCACGCCGCCTCCCCAGGACCAGCCAGGGACATCCAGCAGCCCTCCTCCCCCTGCCACTGGCCAGCATGGGGAGGCCCAGCAGCTGCTCTCGCTAGTCCTGGAAATGGCTTGGGGCCACAACCTGAAAGGAGCAAGCACCTAGCATCCAGCCCAGCAGGAGCAGCCCTGCCGCCCTCCTGAGCTCACCGCAGGACCTCCCCCGGCTCCATGAGCAGCCAGGACGGCAGGCAACTCTCCTGCAGCTGCTAGGTTGGCCTTAACAGGCAGGACACGCAGGTTCTCTCTGGGAGGTTGGGTCTGGGGGATCCCCAGCCTGGAGAAGGGGGGCTCAGAAGTCTGGCCAACATACTGGACAGAGCTCGCAGGTTCTCTCTGGGAGGTTGGGTCTGGGGGATCCCCAGCCTGGAGAAGGGGGGCTCAGAAGTCTGGCCAACATATTGGACAGAGCTCAGCCCATTTCTTGAACAAGGGACCAAATGGCCCAGACCAGGGGCCAGGCTGTACTGGGAAAGTGGACCTGGGTAGCCAAAGAAAACCAAAAGGTGGTGACTGGCCAGCCAGCTAGAGGCTCCTGCAAAACAGGCTACAAACCCCGAGCCCTGAAGGCTTTGCGGTGGGCCCCATGGGGCGGGGACAGGACACTGGGCTCTGTGCCCCAGTCCTGCAGAAGACTTAGCTCCAGCAGGCACACATGGAGGCCAGGCCAGAAAGTGCCTTGCCCAGCCCTTCTGGGTCCTGTACCAGTCTGGCCAGGGCTCCAGCTCCATCCAACGCAGAGTGACCCGTGGCCCATGTGAGGTCAGAGAGCCAGGGCCACGGTCTGACCTGTGGAGAGGTCTGACCTGCAGAGACCGCCTGCCGCGCCGCGCCGCTGCTCCGCTCCGCTCAGAGGAAGGGCTGTCGGCCCAAGCACGCGGCCCGCCCGTTCTGTCAAAGTCCTTTATTATACAATGGTGTCTGTTTGCGGATCGGGGGCAGGTGGGCAGCAAAGGACTAACAGGTACACAGCGAGATAGATAAATATGCCAAGCCTTTTCTTTTTCCTTTTTTAAATCAGGCATTTATAAACAAGAAAGCATACATTAATTACATAAAAATAGTTTTCGAATAGCAGAGTAAGCCATCATATTGTCGTTAGCAGCATAGGACACGGGAGGGCGCAGGGCTCCGGTGGTTAGAAAGGTGCAGCTGGGGCTTGCTTCCTTAACTGAAAAAAAGTCACTGCGACTCCTGACTTAGAGCGGGAGAGGATGCGGCTCCCCGGCGCTGGCGAGGAGGGGCGGTGGGAGGGAGCGCGGGGACCAACCTGGGTGGAGATGGGACTGGGCGGCGGCCAGGGGGAGGGACGCCACGCAGGAGATGGCCACAAGGCTGCTCGTCCCCTCTGGCAGATGAGCGTTTTTTTCCTCAGTTAAAAACAACCCGGAAAACAAAACAGCTACCAGGTAAGAAAAGTTTCTGAAAAAAGAGCCACCATATACATACATACAACGGTGTAAAATGAAAGGGAACAGAAGTATTTACAGGTGAGTTGTTTTTTCATGGGCCAGCTCTGTAGGAAAGCGGGGTGTCGTGTGTGGGGTTAGCTGCTCACGGATATGAATGTTATTGCTTTGGTTTTTCCCTTCGTTAAAAACCTTTCAGAATAGAAATGAGTAATTAAAGTGATACACAACCATCGCGGTAATGGGTTCACACACAGGGAGTCAACGACCAACGCGATGATAGCAATCTCTCCTCCCTTTCTCTGAGCAAAAAATGAACTTGCAGCCTCAACAAGCACTCTGGGGCCTGGCCCGGCCGCCCCGGCCCACCGTGCCCCGCAGTGGAGCTGCCCGGCTGGCCTGCGGCCAGCTGGGCTTCACGCAGGGCACGGAGCCAGAGAGAGCAGAGCTGCCCAGGAGGCCCAGAGCTTGAGCCGCTGGTCAAGTTCCCACCGTCGGAAGGCCTGGGGGAGCCGTGGGAGCTGTGGCCTCGGTGGGCTTCCCGGCCAGGTCTAGCTGCACACCGAAGTTCCTGCTGCATTGCTAGCGCTAGGCCCAGGGGCCGGGTGTGATGGTGACAAGAGGCGGGGCGGGGAGAGGCTCTGCCCGCCGCTGCGGAGCGGAGCGTGCCCCTCTGGAGCTAAGACTCAACCAGGGCCTGGCTCAGGGCCATCTCCAGACGTGGTGACAAGGACGCCACACACAAGCACGCCAACACATTTAAAGCTTTGCTCCAACTAAACCATTTAGTTCTCCTTGAAGAAAGGACTGAAAAAACACAACTCAGAAAAACAAGGCCGAAAGCCGCATTCTGCACGCTGCGTAACAGATCCGACCCTTTATGACACGGTAGTAACGCCACGGGTGGGCGCCGAAGAGGCATGACATCCCATGCATACAGGTTTCATAACCACAAAAGAAAAGCAAAAGCAAAGATTCCCAAACAAACGCTGCGCATACACGATGTCCCTTTTGCATTGCACTTTAGAAGGCGGAGGGCCAGCCGCCGCCGAGCCCCCCTCAGTAAACCAAGGGCGAGCCCTGCGGACGGCCCCCTCACCCGCTCCGACGCCAGGGCTTCCTGGTCTGGCTTTGCTCCTCCCCGGTGTGGTGCGCACTTGAGGCTCTTTGTACCTGCGCGGACACTCCGCACTCCACCTTGCTCAGCTCGCGGCCAGGGTGCTGGAAAGACTAAAGCAAAGAACTCCTGTGTGATCTCAAATAAATACCGCCACTGAGGGGGAGGGGAGGGGGAGGGGGAGGGCGCGGCGGCCTCCTGTCTACTGGAAAATTGTTTTTCAAGCTTGGGCATAAGAAACCTTATACAATTTGCATGAACAGTTAAGAGTAAACAAGACTATTTGGAATAAATGCAAGTAACGTATTCTGACAGTGGCAGATTTCAATCGCTACTGAAGACGGTATTTTTGGGGGTAAAAAGACATGAGTCAGGTTTGCTGTACAAGACGCTGGAAGGCACAGAACGACCCCCAAGTTCAGTTTCTGCGTTTTCGTTTTCTTGTGATTCCCTTGTTCAACCAAGCACCAGAGGGGATTTCTAAGCACTCGAGCACTTAGGGTTTGAACTGCTCTAGAAATCGGTAAAAACCTCAGTTAACTGGGGAGTAAAAAGAGAAGGGAAGGTTTTTGACAAAGTGCAGTTCTAAACATACGTTTAAATGAATGAGTAACAAAAAAAAGTGATGTAATGCTATTTGTTCCAAAGCTGCAGCCTCAGCCCGGCGATGGGAATGGGCGTTGTGAGCCAAAGTGCCGAGAGCTGGGGGTCAAGGGGCGCGTGTTCCCGGGCTGGTCCCAGCGGCGGAGGCGGGCACGGGGCGCTGGGACGTCTCCGTTGTCCCCCCCCCCCCCACGGCTCCTGCGCAGCTCGGCCTCCGGGAGCCCGTGGAGCGGCGGCCGGGCGGCGGGGCGGGCGGCGGTAAGGCGGGCAGTGTTCGGCTCATCTCGCACGCGGCACTCGACCTGCTCTTCCTGGCGGAGCAGGAAGACCCGGGCCCTTGTCGCTGAAAAAATAAACTCTGAAGAAAACCCTTGCTGCCCTTGTGCGGCCGCGGGCACAGATGAGCGGTGATGGCTTCCCAGGCCCCAGGGCGGGCCTCCAGACGGTGTGGCGTGTCAAAGCCTATGAAAGTTAGTCACTAAAAAACGTGTTGATTTTTCTGAGTATCAAGTCTCCTTATTGGTTTTAAATAGCTTATAACAAAAGTGTAAATGTTAGAATGTTCTGGCAAGCAGAGATCCAGCCACAAGCCACCGTGCTGGCGTGGACTGGCTGCAGCTAGGGACACAGCTTGCTTACTTGAACTTGGCCAGTAGAAAATTTTGCAGTGGATTCCAAAAGTGTGTGGTTACAAACACTCGTTTGGTAATAGGCACAGTAGAGACGTTGTGCTGGGTGGCTGCGGGGGCGGGGCCGGGCCTGGGCAGCGCCGCCCGCTGCCGTCCGCCCACCGGGCCTGAGCTGGGGGTCAAGCTGGAGACCACGCCGCCGGGCGGCCGCGCCAGGGCTAGGGCTCCAGGTCGGTGCTGCCCCCGCCACCGGTGTGCTCAGGCGGCGGCCGTGGCCACAGCTGCTCCTGCAGCTCCTTCACCACCTTCTCCAGGTGCTCACGGGCCTCGCGCTCCCGCAGCAGGTCAGCCCGCAGCTGCTCCCGATCCGCCTCTGCATGCTGCAGCTTGGCCTGCAGGTCCTCGATCTGAAAAGGATACCAAGAGTCAGCCGCACACTGCCCACCGAGCAATGCCACCCACTTCTAGAAAGGGGCCCTACCTTCCTGTGCTGGACCCTGCTCTGCCTGTGCCCTGAACCAAGACCGGGTCCAGCCTGCCAGAATTTACCCGCCTCTGCCCGAGACAGACGCCCAGCGGGACGGGGCGGCTCCCCGCACTGAGGGCAGCAGAGCCTCCCTGACTCAGGCCAGTGCACTGTGGCCTCCCAGGACTCATGCCCGGGGCCGGGAGGGGAGGGTGGCGTGACCAGGGAGGGCCTCAGTGGGTGGCACCCGGGCCATACCATGGCTCGCTGGGGATGGTGTGCTCGGGCGTGTGGCTGTGGGACATGTCACCGTCCAGCTGGCTGTGTCACAGGCTCGGCCGGGCCCCGTGGCGGTGGGGACACGGACGACCTGGGCTGAAGGGACGGCTGGCTCTGTGCCTGCCCCGTACCTGAGCGGAGTACTTGGCGCGCAGACGGCCGGCCTCGCAGCCCTTGTCACACACTCGGGCCTGCCGCGCCTGCTCCAGCTCCCGCTTCAGGCGCACCCGCGACTCGTTGGCCTCTTTCATCTTCTTCTCGTTCTCAGCTCGGAGGCGCTCGATCTCCTTCCTCAGGCTCCGCTTGGCCTCCGTGGCTTCCCGCAGCTTCTCTTTCTTGGCCACACGCAGGAACTCCAGCTCCTGAGAGAGGGGCTCAAGGTCGCTGCCGGCCCACTCGGAGCCCCTTCAGGCCACGCATCCTTCCACCTGGCTTCCTGCCCACCCTGCCCTCCTCCTCTCAGTGCCCCCAGGACCTCAGCAGCCAGCTTCGGAATGCCTCCTCTGGGATGCCAGCCGAACCCCGGGGCGGCCACTTTGGGGTAGGTTACCCCCTGCACCAGCCTTGGCACAGCCTGCTGCCCTTCCCCCGAGCGTCAGAACAGCGGTGACTCATGCCCCCGCCTCTGAAAGCACATGTGGGAATCACACCTTTGCCAAGAAGTGGGGACAGCGGGGACAGCCGACAGTAGCTGGGGCGAGTGACTGAGACGCTCCCAGGAGAGCGAGTGTGTGAAGTCCTGCAGCCCCAAGACTCACAGGGTTGTGTTGTGCTAAAGCCCACGCGTGTGGAGCTGCCAGACACAGGCTGCTATGTGACTTGGGCCATGGGGGGAGAGGGGAGGCGCGCGCCAGGGACGCCAGGCCGGCCAGCCCTGCCCTCTTACCCCCCGCCCCCCAATGGCTGCACACTTACAATCAGAAACAACCATGTAAAAAGGAGGCACCAGAGTGGAGCTGCCGAACCACACGCGGTGACGTGGGCCGGGCTGGCAGGAGTGTGCGGTAGGGGCCGTGTCAGAGTGCTCTGCTACACTGACTCCCTGGAGGCTTTGCGAGCGGGGCGGCCGCTCGGTGTGAGGCCGCTGGGCGGAGGAACAGACACAGCCAAACCCGCTGTGAGAGCTCTCCCTGGGAGCGCCAAGGGGCTGCTGGACATCAAGATGGCCACAGTGGCCTGGCGCACGGGGCACGGGGTCACGCAGAGGTCAGCCTGAGCACAGCTAGTGAGACCTCATCTCAACCATGAAGCTGGCACACACTGGCAGTCCCAGCTACTCAGGAGGCCCCAGGCTGGGGATGTGGCTCCGTGAGAAAGTGCCCTGTGTGGCTGGGTCACCTGGCCGTCCCCCCTCCCCCCCTCCCGAGGTTCTCCCGGTCAGTGGGAGGAAGGCCAAGGCTGGCGCCCACGCTCACCTGGTGGAGGCTGCGCTTGGCCTGCAGGGCTGCGTTCAGCTTCTCCTCCTGCTTCACGCGCATCTTGACCACTTCATGCAGGAACTTCTCTTTGGCTTCCTTGGTGTCCAGGCCGCCCTCCAGGGCCTGCCGCAGGTGCTCCAGCTCCGCCTCCAGCCCACTGGGGGTGTCAGTGTGGGCCGTGGCATCCGGGGCGGCTGCGGGTGGGGCGTGCGTGCCTGGGGAGCTCAGGTCCTTGGCAGAACTGGACGAGGTGAAGGACGGAGAGGACAGCGAGGACAGGGAGGACGTGACTGGGGACAGAGACAGGCCCCGGTCAGCGGTGCCTGGGAGGAGAGCCAGGGTGGAGCCACGCCCACACCTCTGCACCCCAGCCCAGGGTCCCGAGGCCCCCGGGAGCCGACTTACATCCCTCTCTGCTCTCAACTTCCACCTCGGCCTCCGAGTCCTTGTCCTCCTCCGGGGCAGTTGCGGGTGCCAGCGTCTCCGGGGCTCCTGGGGTGTCTGCAGTCAGCTTCCGCTTCCGAGGCTGGACACAAGTGGGGAGAGGCTCGGGAGCTCGGGACACCACAGTGGCGCACGGTGGGCTGCTCACTACCTTCTGCTGGGCTGGTGGGGCAAGGGCCACGTTGGGGGCCACAGCCGTCTCGAAGCTCTTGTAGGAGTAAAAGCTGTGGGGCACACAGGAGGAGGCGTTAGGTCTGCAAGCCTGCCTGAGGCCCCTCCAGCACACAGCCCTAGCCCCACAGCCGGACACCTGCAGAGCTAACGCCTGCCCATGCCAAGGGGAAACACTTTTTCCTTCAACTCTGAATCCTATTCTTTTTTCTATTTGTTCCCCCAGTCCTGGGGCTTGAACTCAGGACCTGGGCACTGTCCCTGAGCTGCTTTTGCTCAAAGCTAGCACTCTACCACTGAGCCACCTCCCCAGCCTAGGTTTTCTTTCTTTTTTTTTTTTTTTTGCTGGTACTAGGCCTTGAACTCGGGGCCTCCAGTTCTCCCTCAGCTCTTTTGCTCACAGTTCCACCTCTCGAATCTCGTTTGGCTTGCTGGCCGGAGGTGGAGTTTCACGGAACCTTTTCTGAAGCCCCAGCTGGCTTGGAACCTCACTGCTCAGAGGCTCCTGAGAAGCCAGGATTATAGGCGTGAGCCACCGGCGCCTGGCTTCCGACTGGATCTCAATGTCAAGCTTCACAGACTGAGACCCACAAATGCTGGGGCCCGGAGCAGGCTGGCGCACGAGTGGAGCGTGCCGTTGCGGGCGGGCAGCCGCGCGCATCTCACCTGTCGCGGATCAGGGCTGGGAGGTGTGGGGAGATCTCCTTCTCGCTTGCGGAGACTGCGGGGGACCAGGGTCGGAAAGCAGAGAGGCGCTGGCGAGGGTGAGGGCAGCCGAGGCTCTGCAAGAGACTGGTCTGTGAGTGTCAGCCGAGCCGAGCCCTCCTCCCAGGACTTCCAACAGCCCCCCCACACACCTTGTTGGAGGAAGCAGCCAAGGTCCGCAGCCAGCTGGGTTGCTTGTCCTTCTCAGAGGATGCGGGGCACTGGGAAGAGTCATCGGGTTTGGGTCTCATGGGGGCTGGGGGCTCGGAGACCTGTGACGAACACACAAGCTCTGTTGGCCCCTGGGGCCCTGGGGCGGGGTCTCTCCTCGCACGCCTGTGAGCACACGCATGCCCCACCATGCCTAGAGTGCACAGAACCAGACCTGCCCCTCCTCGCCGCGGGGCCACACGTGCAAAGGTAAGCCTGATGCTGCCGGCGAGAGACAAGTCACCCCGAGAACAAAGCCGATGTTGTTGGCAGCTATGAGGTGACCTCACTCCACAGCTGCAGAGGCTCGGGGTGGGGTGCAGATGAACACTCCGGCCCCCACAGAGGCTCCGCCTGACTCTAATGTCCCTTGACCTCCAGGGCTGGCATCGTGCTCTTGGCCCAGTGAGCTCCCATGATGCCTCACCAGAATGCGACCCTCACTGCACCCCAACAGCAACTGCATGCACCCAACCCGCTGGAGGGCTCCATGGGCAAGGCTCAGAAGGGGCCTGGGAAGGGAGTGGCCCAGTCGGTGAGGGCGGGGTACAGCCCTGGTCCAGAGGAGGGGCACACACTCAACACGCCCCCCCCCAAGCCAGGGAAGTGGGGGAGCCTGAGACTTCCCGTAAACACCACCCCTCAGGGATGGTTCATCTGCAGGAGAATGAGGACCTGGGGGCTCGGGAACACAGCAGCCTTCACTACACAGGCCGGCAGGAGGCCAGTCTGAGCAGGGGCCAACCATGAAATGACCTGTGGGAAAGTGGCAGAGGTGGAGCCTCAGCCAGGCCTGGAGGGCAGAGGCAGACAGAGGTCCCGGCCTTCCCCGGAGCACTGGAGACAGCACCCTGGGAGAAGTGCCTGATGGGGTGAGGAAGGAAGGGCCTGGCTGCCCGAGGGGAGCGGAAGGGAGCAGTCAGCCGGTCACCCCCTCTTGAGCTGTTTCCACGGGGGGGGGGCCAGGAGGCAGGCAGAGGCGCGGTGCGAGGGGCTGAGGGGTACCCCAACCCCTGGGCGGCGGCAGGGAAAGGAAATGACCATGGAATGGCCCTGGGGTCTCAGGCCAGTGCTGGGGGGGGGCCCCCTGCACACAGCCAGGCATGCCTGCTGGGGCAGGAGGCTAAGGTGGCAGTCTGGGAAGAGGCCAAGGGGGCGGACACCAGAGGGTGGGGCTTCCTGTCTGAGCAGTCGCCTGAGCAGGTGGGAAAGTGAGCTGTTCTCACCAGAGGAAAGCCGCAAGACCCAGCCCGGCCCCGTGCCCACGCCAGAAACCTCAGAGGCCCGGAGAGAAGCACCCGGCCCCGAGTGTGTGGTGCGCCCACCCCAGGCTGGCCACCCGCCCCGCGCCAGCTGTGCCCGTCCCGGCTCTGCTGGATGGGCACCCAGTCACCCCGAGGAAACGGCTGCTCCAGCTGGGGCCCCCCAGCGGCTGAGACAACGCTGAGGTCATCTGGAGAGCGCCTGTGGCCCGCAGCACTCTTCCAGGTAGCATGGGGCTCATTCTCAAGGCCTGGGGGGGACAGGGACTCCATCTCCAACACCGGTCACAGGGAGCCCGGGCCCCCAGGAGCAGGCCGCCCAGCAGGCCCGGGCCCCAGGCAGCAGGCCGTGGGGTCAAATCCGGGCCCAACGACAGACCACCGTACCCCTCCTCTTCTGGGAAGACCAGTTAGCACCAGTCACCTCCGGGTGCGTTTTTTCAGGCCGCAGCCACCAGAGGCGGTTCTGACGCAGACCGCGGGGCCAGGACCCGTGGTCAGCTGCCCACGGGGGGAGGGGGCGCTGGGGGCCATGCTACCCAGTGCCGTTCACCCCGGGCTCTTGATGGAGAATCGTTGTCCCCCACACCCTTCAATACACACTGACAGCAGCAGGAGCCACCAAGAATGAGCCTGAGACTGTGCCCACGTGCCACGCGCTGGACAAGGGCTACACTCAGCCTCCAGGCCCCTTCAAAGTTGGGGAGACCTCACGTGAAGCCCTGAACGGGGAAGTGGCTGCAGAGCAGGGAAAAGCCCAGCAGGGCCTCCTCGCCGTGGCTTGTGTAAACTGACCCAGGGCCTGCAGATGGCTGAAAGGAGCAAGGGGGTAAAGGGGGTGGAAGGACACTCTGGGTGCACACCAGGGTGTCGCTTAAAGGGCCCCGGAGATGGGCAGGACCCCACATCCACAGGGCCTGCCCCTCCACCTCCACGGCCACAAGCTGCAGTGGACACGAGCGAGATGTGCCTCCGGGCACTCCAGCACCCACCTCCCCCAGCCAAGTCACGCCTGCGTTTACCAACACCGAACATTCACCACAGACACGCGCCAACACCGTTGAACCAGGGCCTCCTCACTGGCTCTCTACCACTTGAGCCACTCCTTCACTTCCAGCTTTTTGCTGGTTAACTGGAGATGACAGTCTCACGGACTTTTCTGCCTGGGCTGGCTTCTAACCACAATCCTCAGACCTCAGCCTCTCGAATAATGAAGCCACCCAGCGCCCACCACAGACCAACAGGGGCTCCTACACAGCCTGGGCTGTGCACGCCAACTCCCGGACGCATGCTGGCCAGTGTGCCACTGAACAGAGGCCGCTGGACCAGGGCAAGAACACCGCGGACAGCAGCAACTCCACCCATGAGCCTCTGGGGAACAGCCACAGCGGCAGGGCCCCCGTGGCCCTGCAGCAACTGCCCTGTGAATATAAGGTGTTTCAAGTCCAAAGAAGCCTCCAAGAAGACCTGTCTGTGCCTCTCCTGAGAAGCCACAGCACACAGCTGGTGCATACCACAGATACACCACCGATATCACCACAACCACACCACCAAGATCACCACCACCATACCACTAAGATCACTACCACCACCACTGTGCACACACAGCCACACCACAGAGATCACCACAACTACTGCCGCCACTGTGCACACACAGCCACACCACAGAGATCACCACTGCCACTATACACACAGCCACACCAGATACCACCACCGCCACCATGTACACACAGCCACACCACAGAGATCACCACAACTACTGCCGCCACTGTGCACACACAGCCACACCAGAGATCACCACTACCACCACTATGCACACACAGCCACACCACTGATACCACCACCACTGCCACCATGCACACACAGCCACACCAGAGATCACCACCACCACTGTGCACACACAGCCACACCACAGAGATCACCACAACTACTGCCGCCACTGTGCACACACAGCCACACCACCGAGATTACCACCACCATGCACACACAGCCACACCACTGAGATCCACTGGTACTGCAGCAAGACCACAATTCAGAGCGCCACCAAGCTCCCTGGCAGGGTGACGAGGAGCCATCAGAGGTCCTTGCCACCCTAGCTGTGCTTCAGACTGCCCACTGAGGGCAAGGTACACCTGGTCCCCTCAAGCCTGGCTACAGGCCCAAGCATGTTCTGAACCACTGCCCAGAGACCACGGGGGCCGAAATATGGTGAACCCAAGGCTGCAAGTGCCGGCTGTTTCCAGCCAGCACCTGGCCTCAGCACCTCAGATGACACCGAAGCACGAGGAGCAAAGGGAAATAGAAAAGCAGAGCTCTATCCACCTAAATAAAACCGTATCCTCTGAAACGTTTGTGCTCTGCGCGGTGGTGCGTGCTGTCATCCCAGCAACTGGAGACTAAGGCAAGCTCTGTAAGTTTCAGACCAGCCTGTGCCAGAGAGAAAGCTCCAGACAGGACCAAGAGTAAGACCCTATCTCAAAAAAAAGACAATCGTGTTTCCATGAAGCCTTTCTACTGAGACAGGCACCAGTGGCTCACTCCTGTAATCCAAGATGAGATCCCTAAGCCAGCCTAAACCTGAGATTTATCTCCAATTAACCAGCAAAAAGCCAGAAGTGGAGCTGTGGCTCAATGGTAGAGCAAGCATCAGCCTTGAGCCTAAAAGGCAAAGAGAAAGTGTAAGGACCCGAGTTCAAGCCCCAGTACTATCTCAAAACAAATGTTGTACTTCAAAGTACTCCATCAAGAAAGTGACAAAATACCTACAAGAACTGGAAAGCCTGTGTAAACCCCCATGTCTGACACAAAACAAGAAAAATTCCTGCAACTATGCACTGCAAAACCACCGAATTAAGCAGCGGCCACAGGGAGTGGAGGAATGGTAGCTGGTAGAGCCTTAGCCAATGAGCAAAGGTGCCGAGTACCAAGTCTGAGTCCCAACATAGGCCTTGGCGTCCTGACATCCAATCAACACTGGAAAGGGCTTAGCGTGCCTGCTGGGAAGGCCCCAAGGCTCCACCTCACCCTGTCCCAGCCCCCACGCCACAAGACTGATCCAGACTACAGCCACCACAGGCGATGGGGCAGGGCGCAGGTGCCCCATCGTTTGAGCCCAGCGGCAGAGCCCTTCCCTAGCTAGCAAGGTGGCCCCACACACGTGTGAGCCCGGTTACCTCACTGGCACCCACGCAGCTCAGAGAACACGGACAGGGTAGGTGTGTGCAGTGAGCACGTCCGCTGCGCTCTGGCAGGGTGGGATGCTTCAGCGGAATGGGGCAGCTCTGGCACGTGGCCACAACCTGCACGGAACCCTGGTCACAGCAAACACATCCACACAAAGCCATGTGCTTGGGGGGGGGGGCACAGCTCTCCACACTCAGGTTCACAGGGGGACAGGGAGCGAGCACAGCCCCAGGAGGCAGGGGCTGTAGCCGCTGCGGCAGCTGTGAAGAGACCTCCCCCCAGTACACACGCCAAACGGCCAACCAGGGGCTCCGGGAGGACAGAGGCACATCACTGTCCTTCCCGCAGAAAACGCTGCAGTGGGCCGGGCGCCGGTGGTCACACTGTAATCCTCCTACCTACTTGAGAGGCCGAGATCTGAGGATCATGGTTTGGGTAGCAAAGCCCATGAGACTCTTATTTCTAACTGATCCCAGAAAAAGCCAGAAATGGCGCTATAGCTCAAGTGGTAGAGCAAAAGAAGCTGAGGGACAGTGCCCTCCCTGGGTTCAAGCCCCAGGACTGACCAAAAATAAATCAAAATAAAGATGTCTTATACATTAGCAAAACCAGGTCTC